CTTTTTTTTTTTTTTTACTTTTTCATGTGACTACTAGAAAATGTAAATATCTGATGTGAGGATATCTGGTATGTGACCCCAAAAGAGTCACAACCCACAGGTTGAGAACCACTGATGTCAGTGTTCTTTTAAAGAAAAAAAATGTAATTTCCAGATCTTATCTTTAAAGAGTCTTATTAAGCTAGCTTAAATTTTAGTGGAGCGCTTTTAAAATTTGTTTTCTTTTATTTAGCATACAAAGTAACAGTTATTATACAATTTTCATACATACTATATTCTTATATTCTTTCCTCATCCAAGCCTCTCTCCTACCCTTCTGACTCTTCCTGCTCATTTTCTTCCTTGGCATAGCATATGCCCTTCTCCTCTCACATTGTATGTATTCTATTACCTTCTTTTTCTTCTCCTAGGACCCTTAAGAAGTCTTCTTGCCTGCTCATGGTCCCGTTTCTAGTTTCATCCACTACACACATACCCCTGTATCTAAGTATGGCTTATTTTAATTAACGTAATTCTTTCCAGTTCTTCCTATAAACTTCACTGTTGTTTACAGTTCAGTAAACTCCCATTCTATATATGCTTTCCTCCTGTTTTCTTTGTAGAGTCATCTGTTTATTGACATCAAGGCTGGTTCTTTTTCTTTCTTTTTTTTATTTTTTATTTTTTTTGCTTTTGTGAAGAGTGTAGCACAATAATAATGTGGATGTGTGCATACCTTTGTGGTAGAGTTAAGAGTGCTTTAGGTATTATTACGGCTAATTTCCATTGTCAATTTATCAGGATTTACATTCTCGATGGAAACATCCCTTTGGGGTTGTATATGAGGCTATCTTCAGAGACGTTTATATGAGGAGAGAATACGTACCCTGAATGAAAGTAGCACTATCCCATAGGCTTGGATTCTGGACTGAATAAAAAAGAGAACGTTAACTTAGCATTAGCATTAATCTTTCTCTGCTTCCTGGTGTGGACAACTGGAGTCTCATGTTTCTGTCACCCTGCTGCTATAGTTGACTTCAGTTTTCAACTTAAACAGACCTAGCATCACCAGGAAAGAGGGAACCTCAACGTAAGACTTTCCCAGATCAGATTGGCCTTTTGCCTTGTCTGTAAGGTACTGTATTAACTGATAATTGACATGTTGGGGAGAACCAGCTCACTGTGGGTGGTGCCAACACTAGGTAGTTGGACCTGAGCTGTGTAAGAAGGCAAGCAAGGCTGTAGGCAGCATTCCTTCATGGTCTCTGCTTCAGCTACTGTTTCCAGGGTCCTGCTCTGGTTCTCCTCAATGAAAGCCTAAAACTTATATGATGAAAATACCTTTCCCGATGTATTTTACTGATAGTGTTTATCACAGCCACAGAAGGCAAATGAAACATATGCCTTCCTTGTCATGATGGATTATATTTCCTTAAACTGTAAGCCAGAAATGAACCAACTCTCCATTAAGTTACTTCTCATCAGGTATTTGATCACAGCCATGAAAACTAACACAGCTACGTACACAGGATTAGATAGTAGCTCTTTGTTTCGTTTTCAAGAAAGATTAATACTCATTTCCATAGTGACTACACAAGTTTGCATTCCCAATTAGCATAGACTTCCTCTTCCTCATATTCTTACCAGCATTTTTAGTAATTTTTGTACATACACATGCATCTGCATCTCTCTCTCTCTCTCTCTCTCTCTGAGGAGGGGGGGAATTCCAGTCATTCTGACTGGTTTGAAATGTTATTTTAAAGTAGTTTTACTAATGACATACATTTGAGAATATTGAACATTTGGAAAAATATTTATTGACCATTTATTTGCATGTCTTTTTTGGAAAATAGACCATGGGAAGACCCTATTATTCATTTCACTAAGTCATTCTGACCTACTCAATATTTCTTCTCATCCCATGGTCTATTTTTCTGCAAACATAACACATTAATATTTGAGTGCAGTTTAGTCATCCTTTTCTAAAAGAAAGGCTGGTCATCACACGAGCCACAAGCTCTATGTGCACAGGAACTTACACTAGCTTTTATGTCTTGTAGTTATTGATGGGTTCATTCTGAATCCCCTAGGGACTGATTCATCAACCAGTAAAGCTATATTGGAACATAGGTAACACTTCAAGGCATTAATTAAATAAACCACATAAACAGAGAACAAATGATTAGATATTTCATTAGAAAACACTCAGCAGAGAGGCAGACAAGAGGCAATTTTATCTATTACCCTGCTTCAGTCAACACCTAAAGCCTGTCAATCAATTAAGTGTACTTTATAAGTTGATTACCCCTACAAGAATGTGTTTCTCTTTCAATCAAAATGGCCAGCCTCGATATGTGGACCTTGGTAGAGCAAGTAAGGTGGTAAAAAATGATCACAAGAATACTTAATGATAAAAACATAAGTAGCCATTTCCAAGTACTTTATACTTGTCAAACACTGGGTTAAATCTTTTATTAACATGTTAGCTCATTAAATCCTTATAGAAAGTCTTCTGTGGTTTCTATGTTTCAGTTGAAAACCTTTCCAAGAAGATAAAAATAAATAAATATTGGTAGGAACTAATAGCTGCAATCTAAGTTGCTAACTCCAATGCTTTGCTCCTTCCTTCAAACTACATGCTACAAGGATAACCTTTCAATCTTTTGATCTCCAAAAGTCCACGCCTCTCTAACCTTTTGTTTGTGGTCCATAATATTCAAGTCTTATCTTACAGAAGAAACAATGAAGATGATGATATAGCTTAGTTGGTAGAGCACTTGTCTGACATGTATGAGGCCCTGAGTTCCCAAGTACTGAAAAAAAAAAGTTTTTCATCATATGCATGTATGAAATTCTCAAAAAATTTCTTTTTAAAAAATTATATATATTATAAAGGATATTCTATTCTACTTCTCCTTCTGAGTAATGAAATGGGGAGGAAAAGAAGGATGGAGATCAGATGTGGAGAGAACAGGGGTGGAAAGTGAGAGGTCTGAGAACAGGAAGGGAAAATGAGGAGGGAAATCTCTGTCAAACTAGAGGCCTACAACAGAGTAGACTCCTAGGAGGATATGGATGTGACTCTTGCTGAGACTCCTAACAGGGGGATGGTTTGGACATAAAAACTGAAGAGACCACCTCCTAGCTAGGCAGGACAAGTGGAAGGAGGGGAACAACAACCCATTGACAAAACCTTTGATCCAAAATTTACCCTGTCTACAAGAAGTGCAGGGATAAAGAGGGAAAAAAGATTGAGGGAATGTCTAAGGAATAATTCGCCCAACCTGAGACCCACCCCACAGTAAAGAGCCAGCCCCTGAAACTATTAATGATGTTCTGCTATGCTTGAACACAGGAGCCTAACTTGACTGTTGTCTGGGAGGCTCCAGCTAGCAGCTGATGGAGACAGATCCTGGGACTTGCAGTCAAGCATGGGGCAGAGCTCTGGGGGTTCTGTGAAAGTGTTGGAGGAAAGATGGAAGGACCTGGAGGGGGACAGGAACCTCACAAGAAGACCAGCAGAGACAACTAACCCAGTCCCTTGGGGGCTTACAGAGACTGGGACATCAACTAAGGAGTATGCATGATCTGGATGTAGCCTCCCACACACATATGTGGCCAATAGGCAACTTAGTGTTCATATGAGGTGCCTGTCGAGTGGCAGGGAGGGAGCTGTTTCTAACATAGACTCTACTCTCTGATTTTAGATCACTTCACCATGGACTGCCTTGCCTGGCCTCAGGGGATGAGGTTATGCTCATTCCTGATGTGACTTGATGTGTTGGGAGGGTTGATATGGAGGGGGCCTCCCCTTTTCTGGGGGGAAAGGGAGAGGGGAAAGAAGAATGAAGGGAAGGGGGACTGGGAGGAGAGAAGGGAAGGGGTACCCTTGAGAAGTAAAGCAAATAAACTGAATTTTTTTTCTAAAAAAGGGATATTCTAGAAGGAGCAAGAATATCAAAAAGGAAAGGCTATAGTAAGGGTGCCCATAACAGACCCTCATGAGCCTTTGCTACTTCTCTTGCCATAAAAACTGTTACTGTCTTTCATTCACTGTGATATCTCCTGGCCAAAAACCAACAACAAAAACAAAACAGATTGCCAGGACCATTTTGCAGATGGGAAAAACTAGCCCTTCCAATAATCAAAGAACAAATTCAAAATGACAACCTCAAGGGAAATCAAGAGCTGGGACACATGGTCAGTGATAATCCCCTGTAGCATCCTGCTAAAAGGTGACCTGGTAGAAACAGAGGCCTCAGAGGAACACCATTATTAAAGGCCACGTTCATTATGGCAGTGTCAAACCATCCAAAGCCTCCCAAACCTTAACAGGCTTCCTGTTTCTACACACAGCATGGCTTAGATTCCTGACATTGGACTTTATTGTAAGAAGTGAGACCTGGGATTAATAAGCTCTTGCCCCTAGAAAACAAGGAATACATATTCTGACATTAATAACCAAAGACTATGACAGTACATAATAATTCAAACTTTCAAGGAGAGAAACAAAAAAGAAAGAAGTATAGTTGATGTAAGGAGAAAAAGAAGAAAATAAAGTAAAAATGAAGAGTGGAAGAGACAAGAAAGATCTAGAATAAAGGATCAAAATAGGAGATATAGAAAATAAAGAAAGTAGATAGTGGAAAGAAGGAAAACAAAAAAAAATCACAGACATAAGTTGAAGAAAAAGATTTCAAAACCATCCAAGTCAAATCTAAAAAGAAAAGATCAGACAGAGGAAGTGACTTATGAAAAGGTGAGCAGCAGAGACTGCAAATAAAAAAAAAAAACAAGAGATAAAAGAAAGGTCTAGAGGATAGAAAAATAGAGCTTTAAAGAAAGGGATAGGAGTGAAGCAAAAGAAGGGAGTGAAGAGACAGGAAGGGAGAAAGAGAAAAAGAAATGAAAAGACAAAAGGAACCCTATCAAGAAAGGAATGAGCAGAACAAGAGTGCATGGAGGGAAAGCCAGGGTTAGGCAGCCAAAGAGAGAAGAGCAGAGTGAAGGTTGACACTCACCCTCACAAAGCTGGCAGGAAACCATCCCTCCTCATCGTCGATCTGGCCCCACCACCAATCCTTGTTGGAAGCATCCAAGACTTTGATGACGTCGCCAGCCTTAAATGCCAACTCCCGGTTGGCCATGGTGACGTGATCCCATACTGCCTCAGCACTAACGATGGAATCTCCAGTGATCAGCTTAGGAGACAAAATGAGAATGTGTTCAGTCCATACATCTGACTAGTCTACTTAAGCACTCCCTCACCCAAAATGCTCTACTAATTAATGGAAAAGCTTACATGTTTCAGTGGTGAAAGGTGGCAATAAAGGGAAATGACAGCAACATTCAAGCCATATTGGACTACAAGACAAACAAATACTTTCAGTTCTCTATAAGCCAGTGCATGAAATAATCCAGACTATGAAAAAAAATCATACTTTTGTTTATTTTCATGAACTCCTCTTCCCAAAAATGAAAACAAACAGCAAAGCCTCTATTCTCTTTCCTTGGCGATTTCAAGTAGTCCTGGATCTTTAGAGTAGAAAGGCTACTATGACTAAAATGAAATGCAGGCAATTGAGAGTTGGTAGTTTGTACATTATTTAGCTCTTTTCACCTACCATATTCCATGTGGTCAGAGAATATGACATGTTTCAAAAACAGTCCTACAGCCCTTGCCCTCACCCAGGCTTGATTCCATTTAAATAGATAATGGATATGACTGTTTGATAAACTCAATTCTGGAATAGATTCACTGAGAACTTTGTCCAACTGTCCTGTGGCATATATAGGGAAACTGTGTTGGCATCATATGATAAATAGATTTTAAAAACTGATAATAAAAAAATTAAGCCAGAAACTGAAGATCACTTAGTAAGGTGTACAGAGTCCTTAATCCTAACTGGGGTCACTAAATTTCACAGAAATTTGGAATGGGCTCCACAAACAAACAGCAAACATCTATTCCATTACCCCATGTACATGAACAAAAACACATATAGCCATGACAATTATTTAAGCACATAGGTAAGAATGGAATGAGAGGCAGACTGCCTCTTTCTAGCTACTGACCACTGTGTTATAGATTCATTGTGGGGTTTTCTTTTTCCCTGAACTCTTCCACCTTGTAACTATTGGTCTTCCCAGCATTAGTAGAGGTGCATTTTGGAATTGGAGAACATATGGCCTCCCTGGCAAAGAGACCCAAACACTTTCTCACTGTACTGAATTACTGAACATGTCATTTATAAATAAGTTTTTTTTTTCCTGAGCCAATTTGAAGAATAAATGTCTGCCTAAGGAAATCATGGTTCCATAAGACCAAGATGAAACATTTCAAAGATAACAGAAACTGTCATCTATGGAATATGAACCCTCAACAGACCTGTCATATAACGAATTATCCAGAGAGTTAATGCTACAGTCCACTCAGGAAATGAATATGCAGAACATCACACACATATGAACACATTCATATGAATATACACTAATGTTTTGTCTTGGCTAAGGTATACTATCCCTTAGACTCTGCCTAAGACATACTTCTTAGCTCAGGATTCTAATCTCTATATTCTCTACAGAAGTAAGGCACTGGAAAAATCTAAGTACAGAAAGAAGTCTCCAGCAAGACCTTTGCTAATGCATTTCAAATACCTTGTGTTTGTCTATTCACAATTTTTTCTCAAATTCCATATCACACAATCTGTACTAAATAATCTGTGTTTCATTATTGTCCATATTTTAAACAAGAGAAAGTTGAGGTTCAGTGAAGTAAACTTGCTTTTCAGCCAGTAACAATGGATAAATTACAGAAATAGGTCTTTATACCTCAGAGCAATCAAACCATACTAATACAGGCTCATGTATATTGAACCTACAGAACTCTATCATAAAAACAGATGGTTTTAAAGAACCCCAAGACAGGAGATTTTAATCTCCTCTCTGAGGAGGTTCCTTTTTATATGTATATCTTGTTTTCTTCTGAAGAAAAATAACCAGTTTCTGCTGGTTCTTGTTTCAGTGGAGAAAAAATTACTAGTGCTTGCTTGGATGTTATGGTTTGAATGTGGTAGCCCCACACAGGCTCATGTGTTTGAAAACTTTATTTCAGTTGGTGGTGCTGTTTTAAGGAGTTTTTGGAACATTTGGGACATTGAACCTAGTTGGAAGATATGTCACTGGAGGCAGACCTTGGAAATTAAACCTACTTTTAATGACAGCCCAAGCTCTCCACTTCCTGATCTGCTAAGATATGAACAAACTGCTCTATGTCACTGCTGTTACAGAAAGAGCCATTGCACCTTCTATGCATTCCTTGTCAAGAGAAAGTATACCCTTTAAAAACATGAACCAAAATAAAATTCCCCTAGTTTGTTTCTGTCAAGTATCCAGTCAATATGATGTGAAAAGTAGTCTCAATAAAAGAAATATTTATAGATAAGTTTCCCCTCTCCCACAAAAGATGGGTCCCAACTGAGTGTTACTGAATTACACAATAGTCCCAGACAGACCAAGCCTAGAGAGAACATGGGGGTTATAATTTGAACTATATCCTCAGCTTTGGATCAAGTGTAAAGAATTTGTTAGCTTTGAATAACAACCCTCTGTTCAGGACACCATCTATGAAAACCAAATTCAAATGCAGATATACCCATTCTCTAGAGAATCTACTTTTAACTTACAAGCTTTGCTACGTGGTTCTACACTCCTACTTGCTGTATGGGTTATAAAACACTGAGCCAAGACCTAGCAGTTGTATGTGCAGAGATGTGATGAATATAATGAATCCAGAGGGGCTTGAAGTTATATGTAGCTCTTATGCTCATTTACCATAAATACCTGTCAGAGTAAAAGAATGTTCTTCTCCCATCTTCTGGATATTTTAATAAAAGTAAATTAAATTTGGGCTGAAACTGGTTATATGTATTTCTTTTCTGCAAACAATTAAATTTTATTTTGCTGTAAGGATTTCATACATATATGTACTTTACACATTCATTTTTCATCCAGCATTCATTCAATGGCCTACTATTTACACAGATCTGCTCACTATGATTATTACCACTTAAAGATCAAAAGGCCCCTCAAATAACGTAAAAACCTACCTTTTATTCTGAGCTTTGCTACGTTAGAAAATAGTAGTGGTGACATGGGGTGAAAAATGGAAAAGTCGGAAGAACAAACCAAGATGGAACTGTCAGTACTTAATAGGGATACTGAGGAAGGTGTACAATTTTACAAAAGTCAGAAGTGAGAGACTCCAACTGTGTCATACTGGACTTCAGTTTCTTTAGCTATGAAACAGAATAATATGTGCTTCACAGGCAAGATTATAGAGAGGGTGAATTATTATCATGATGGAAATACAACGTCTAGAATGCCTTGGACTTAATAGACTAGAATAAGACTTCATGGGTAGGAATTATTATACATAGATATTGGGCTCTAGGAAGGTTTTAGGGAGCCTCGAGTTATAGCTTAAAAGATAATGTAGTAACATATGCTGAAGGAAATAGAAGGGTATTTGAAGCTGAAGAATGAGGTTAAATAAACTGGAAATTAATATATATATATTTCCAATTTATTTATAGATAGATAGATAGATAGATAGATAGATAGATAGATAGATAGATAGACAGACAGACAGATAGAAAGACAGACTTGAATTTAGTTTGAAGGAAATGAGGTCAAAAAGTTGATTTTCAGGGTAAGTGTGAGTATAAGGAAAAGAGTTGATGGCACATACGCTTTTAAATGTGTTAAATATGGAGGATAGTTATTGAATACATAAAGACGTTGGAGTTTCAAGTGAAGTCAGAGGAAGAGAGAAACAGAAAGTTCTAGGAGTTAAAAGAAATTGTAGAAACCAAGAAATTTTATCTCAGAGGATAGAATTATAAGAAAAAAGCCATAAACCTCAAAAATTAATAACAAAGGGAGATGAGGACCAGAAGAACAGCCAAAGAAATAAAGCTGGCAGCAGATCATTATAAAGAAAGCCAAGAAAAGTCATTTGGGAGTGGCTCTACCAGGAATTTTATTCTCTATTCTCCTTCTGCTTTATGCCTCACTTCCCACAGAAAGTCCTAACTCTCAATTGGCCCCACTCCTGAAATCCCAAAGCAAGGAGTTTTGCTTGCTTACTCTATCATGGAACACACGTATTTCTAGGCCATGGAATGACACACCTGTGATAGCTAACAAAATAACTTTCAATTCCCAGGACATGCTGGATGCAGCACCAAATATAAATTGATTCTTCTTCAGATTTACCAATATGTGGAACACATAGTGCTTCCAATATCCGCTCCAAAGATGCTCTGGTTATGAATAAAAAGATGAAGAAAGGCTTATTTAATTTAGTAGGTCTGAACTGCAGCTTGAGACCGTGCATTTAAAACAAGTCTTCATATGATCCAGGCACGGCTGATCCCTTGTCCTTTTATCTTCTGATGTCTCATTCACCTCAGAAATCCATGCTATTATGGAGTTTAGCTTCTCTGCTTCCAATATTTTCTACCTATCTACAAGGCTTTCATCAGTGGTTGTTATGAGACTGAGAATCTTTATGGTCATGTAAAACATATGCTCAATAGCAAGTTGCAATGACAAAGATAAAACATCCTAAGATCACAGCCTTCACTCAGTTTTCAAGAACTATATCACTTGTTCTGTTCTTTTAGTTCTTGCCTTCTAGGTGTAAAATATAACCCTAAAGTAGATATTTAATTAGCCTGACGGGCTAGCAAAATATTAAATTTTAATGTCAAGAAGCAGAATACAGTTAAAAACTAACTACTGAGGCTAGAGAGGTGTCTCAGCCACTAAGAGCACTGGCTGCTCTTCCAGAATATCTACTTTGATTCCCAGCACACACATGGGGCTTCCAACTGTCTGTAATACAAGTCCGAGGGGGATCCAATGGTCTCAAGTCACCTCCATAGGCACCAGGCACATACATGGTATACACACTTACATGCAGAGAAAAGACCCATACACATAAAACAAAATAATTTTTAAATTTTAAACATAAACCACTATGCATTTTAAAGAATAACAAATGTTCTAACTGTTGTTATGGTAACTGAGCAAGTCTGTCTTCTAGAAATACACACAGCAGCAAAAAGTAGGATATGAAGAGAGGGTATTAACTCCCTCTGAGGTTTCTTCTGTCCTTTTCTCTCGGATGGCCCTCTTT